TTCTCCTCCCATTTCTTAAATACCGTGAAAAAACACAATAGGAACTATATTATGGGACGGAGGAAGTATAAGATATGGTTTTGTCAGATCGCAAAGAAATGTGATTGACATGTATGCAGCATAGATCTCAAGAGGATTTTATCCATTTGAATTATTGGGGTTCCTTAGGGTAAGTCATACTGATTTTGGTTGTCTCCGTGATTTCAGCAACATTTATAGACTTTTAATTGTATGTTAGAAAATACCTTGCACAACACGAAACATCATCATCAACTTCCCTCGTTCTATCAATAGTCCCATCACATGTTTAAATGTATATTGGTAAACCTTATATGCGTTGTCCTCACTTGTTGTAATAGCTTAAAGGTAAATATCGTTAATGACCTTAGTTAGTATTGTGTAAGGGCTTCTTATGCCAATAGTAACTTATATATGTTACTTTACTGTCCTTTCGTTTGTTGTAAACTCAGTTTAATTACTCCCTCTGCGTTTTAATAAGTGTTACAGTTTAACCGAGACATAGTTTTAGGCAATCTAATTGACTTAAATAAAATAAGAGGTGAGTGGGGTAGTTGGAGTATTAAAAAATTGTAAAAGAAAGATAATGGAGTTAATAATTTATTGAAAGTAATGAATGTGAGAGGAAATATATAATTAAAAAAATAATAGTGGGTTTGGATGAGAAGAGAGAGATATTGTAATTGCAAAATAAAATGAAAGTTTTGTAATTACAAAATAAAAGAAAATTATATCATACTAAAAAAAACACTAAAACTTAAGGAGTATTACATACACAACTAATAAAAATAATTATGAGTTACATACATCAGAAAAAGTTATGTATAGAAAAATATTATTGTATGGTATATAGTATAAAAGAGTAATATTTGTGGAATGTGTATAAATTCAATATACTTATTTCATAGGAAGGGATTAATTACAGTATAATACTCCATATTAAATATTCTAGGAAAAACAAAATAACTTATCACCAAAATAATGAAAAAAACAAAAGAAAATAAAATAAAATAAAAGAAAAAAAAGAAAAAGCTTTGGAGGAAATATTTTTAACAAATGGATGACACGTGTCATTTATGGTTTCTAATTTAGTATATAGTTATAGCTAGTCAGTCATTGATTTTGTCTACGTAGATATTGATCATCAAGGTAATTTTATTGGCAAAAATAATTAATAAAAAAAATCTTATGTTGATAATCTATGTGATATTTTTCTAAAGATGTGATTGTTTATTATTCTTTCTATAATTTAAGATTTAGACAATAATTAATTTATCATAGAACTAATATATAAAGCTAAACTTTTAGCCAGATCACGAGACAGCGACACTTGGCATTCAAATTTTATGCCGAGTGTCGCGCCACGTTGGATAGATTTATATAGACTTTACTTCGTAGGATAAAAAAGTTATTTTAGAATTCTATTTTCAATTAATTGTTAGTTTAGAATTTTATTTTCGATAAAGTACCAATATTTCATATGTAAAAATTGAATTATAATTTTTATCAAAAAGTAATTAGATTACAACTCTTAATAATAATCATATAAAATAATTTTTTGTATTGTTTCAAAAAAATATATATATTTTTTGTATCATATTATTTTTTGGAGCGAAAGAAGTAGTTCAAAAAGTACCACATCCGATCCGTTTATAATATATTCTAATCAATTAAAATAATATACTTCACAATCTAATATTATTTTATTATTGTGTGTAGACCTGTTTATCGGGTGGGGTCACGTGTCATTTCGGACAGAGTCATTTCAGGTTACGGGTCAAGAAATGTTTAACCTTAGCCCAAGGTTTTGGGTTCAGGTCAACCCAATGGGCTAAGAATAATTTTTTTTAATTAATTTATTTTTGCTTATTTTTAGAAGTTTTTAATATTTCATGTTTTCTTTGCTATTTTATTATTATATGTAATCGAATATTTTCACCAAAATTATTATTAGTCATTACATGTCTACTACATAGTTTAAATCGTCACAAAAACACATCAATTTTTAGCTAATTTTGTATCACCGATACATTTTAAAACTCGACATATAGATTAAAAATTTATCTTAAAATTCAATAAACAATCCGAGCATTGCATGGGCCACAAAACTAGTTACAATTAAAGTTGTTATTTATAAAAAATATTCTACAAGGAAACAAAAAAAAAATGTTAAAAATCTATATGATATTTTCCAAAAGATGTGATTGTTTTTTATTCTTTCTATAGTTAAAGATTTAGACAATAATTAATTTATTACAATTCAGGTCGTTATTTATATTTAAGTTAACCTTTTTTTTTACTACCTCTTTAAACTTTACTTATAAAAGATTTTTAAAAGAAAATAAAAAAAAAATTATTGAAGGACACACCGGGGTAAAAATTATTTAAGTCAATTTTTTGTATTTATTGATCGATTATTGATGATATAAAGACCCGCCCATTTATTTATCAGACGGGTCTAACCCATATCATGTTACAACTATGGCGGCTCATGGCTTTTAAAGGCCTCTGTTCCTATTTCCGCTTTTAAAATTATTTAAGGGAGCTTGATTTCCGCTTTCACGTGAGGGAACCAGGTGATTGTCAGCTGCCCCCGGAAATTTTCACATGTGAGACGTTGGAGGTGTTGAGGCTTGATGTCAACCTTGGTCTTGATCTGGCTTATTACACCATGCCGTCCTTTCGTCTTCCAAACTTGAAATTACTCCACCTCCGTGCGGCTCTCATATCTAATGATTACTTTGTGACGAGGCTGCTTTCAAGCTGTCCTTTGCTTGAAGACCTCACTGTGGAAGCCTGTTGGGACTGTGTCCATACCACAAGTATCTCTTCGCCTTCTCTTCGGAGATTGTGTATAAGAAAACATGAACTTGATATCTATGAGAACTCTGCATTTGTGAGTATCCATACTCCTAATTTGGAGTATTTTGAGTACTATGATAATTTAGCACTACAGTACTCTATCCCAAACATGGACTGGCTTGTTAAAGCAGACATCAACATCGGAAACGACTTGTTAGAGGAAGAATTTGAGGAATCTTGTTGGCAAATGCTAAACTTCATCAGACCCTTGTCTAATGTTCAACATTTATCTCTGACCGGCTCGTGCACAGAGGTTTGTCTCAGTTTCTAAATCTGTTGTAGGAAACAATTTGATAAAGTGTTGACTGACTGCTTATTAACCTTTTTGGTTGAAGGATCTTGACGTTCATGGAGTAGAGGATCAACTGCCCGTGTTTCCTAATTTGAAACACTTGGAGCTGGGTTATAGCGGATATAACTATTGGGATAAAGTGTCGTTGGCATTCCTTAATCGTTCACCCCTCTTAGAAACACTTATCTTTCCACAGGTTAGTGTCTATGGTTTCTTGATCTCTTAGGCGCACTTCAGTTCACCTGATTTTTGCTAATCACCACTGATTATTATTCATTGAACCTTTTTTTTTAATCGATTAAAATTGATTGTTACTAATTAAAACTAATTTTTGCATTTACTTGTGTTTTAATGTATGAGGTTACTCATTTTTACTGATTAAAATTGAATTAAATCGATATTTACTCATTACATTCTTCATTTATCGATTAAATATGATTTTTGCTGAATAATTGATTTTTTAAGGTGAATGAATAAGACTTTAGGCTTTATTATATTTGACTTATAATATCTAAACTTATATTGAAATAAACCATAGTTTCACTATAAAAGAATTAAATAATTAAAAATAAGTTGAATAAATATATTGGGAGTTTTATAATTATAAAACATGGTATGGTTTTTGGCATTGACGTGACCGTGTTTCTTTGATTCTCATTTACATTGTAGGGAATAACTACAAGCTTTGAACAAGAAGCTTTAGATGAATTTAATATGCAATCACTAATGATGGAGGGAGAATTTTTCAGAACAATTCTAGCAAATGCTCCTTGGTGCTGTAGGTCTTATCTTAAAAGAATTGTGATTAAGACCTACTCTGGAACAGATCGGGAAGTGAATTTGATACAATTTCTGCTCAGACACGCATCAGTTTTGGAGGAATTGATCTTATTTTAGAATGATCGGGATTTTATTGCAGATCAGATGACACTTGAGAGCACATTGCAGAATTTACCAAGAGCTTCGGTCAACTGCAGTGATCAGTTTGAACTAATCATGGCATATCATAATTTTATTTAATTTTGGCATTAGTTAATTTGTCGTATTAAATTAACTAGTTGTGGCATCGTATTTTTTTAATTGCAATTAATGATAAAATTTTAGTACAAAAAAAAATGATGTAATTGATTCAATTGACATACTATATATTATGATTATAGTAAGCTTATATATTATGATTATAGTAAGTTTATGTGTAATTTGTATTCACAACATGTGATACATTACTTTTGTATGAATGCGAAGATTAAATCATTTTTTCAATTAACATATACAAAGTACTTGTATATCACTGTTTAATAATGAAACAACTTTGTTTAAATACTTGAATTTGAATATTGTGAATTATTTAGACAAAGTTGTATCATGCTAATTAACTAATTAAGTTTAGCATTTATTCAGGCTGTTTATGTTCTTTCTGCATAATGTAAGGCTAGTGTTTTTTGTGTTATCAGGAAGATTTTATAATGTTCTAGTTTTGTCTGTATCTCATTCTCTTTTATGTAAATGTTTAATTTTGATTTACTTGGTGTTTTTTATGTAAAACCCTATTGTTTATAGTGGTTTGCAGGTTTAGAGTGCTTTGGAGTAAGGTGCTGGTTGACTTAATATTTAAGTAGCTGGTTGTGCATGGAATGTTAAGCTGACAACCTTACATGCCATCAACTTTAGTCTATTGATTTAGAGCTCCAATTTAATTGCAGTATAAAACCTAGTCAGATGTTGACAGCTTGTTCATATTATAAGTAGACCAGTTGAACAATCTTATAATCTCACCTTGTTGTCGTGGATAATCTTAAATTCACAAGTGTTTACTGAGATGCTAGACTACTGGAAACTTTTCAACACCAGTATTTGCAATTTCATCTTCAGTGCCAGTTATAACAGAATTCCATCTGTTCCTCATACATAGGAAACATACCCGTTTAGCAACAAAGGTACTTTAACGTGACAAACAGATAACATGATCTTAACAATAAATGTTGAATTTCATCTTCAATTACATCTCAATGTTCAATACTTCAATGTAATCATCAATACGAAATTTCAAATCTAGTACAAAATTGTTTAGAAAATGCTTCTTTTAATTAAAATTCCCATTCCAGAGGAAAGAATACTCATCTCATGCATGCACATAAGGTTGCTTTGTGAATTTCTACTGTATCCTCTGGTTTATATATTGCTGCTATACTTTACATCAACTATTAACTGCCAACCTTACATACTTGCTGCCAACTATAAATTTTGGGCTCGAATTCAACTGCAGGGTAAAACCACTTGTATTAGATTGTTGACAACTTCTTGTTTACTAAAAGCAGACTTGTTAAACATCTTATGATCTCACCATATCTTCAAGGGTAGCTCTAAATTCACAATCGTCCACTGAAATGCCAGAGACTTTGCGACACCAGTTTTGGAAGTTTCTTCATCTTTAGAGCTCTACTCTTTCTGGAGCCTGTTCACAGTACAGGAAATTATAGTTCAAATATCGTGACACCAGTACAGCCACATAGGTACTTTAAATTGACAAAAATATAACATGATCTCTACTGCCCAAAGATCACAATACTCGAAATTATCCAATGATATTCAGGATGGGATCTAAAAGTGACCCGATTAGATCAATGATGAAAACCATTTATTTGGGCATAGTGATGCATGATTAATCATTTATGAATTAATAGAAGAGTCAAGGGAGAGGCTGGACTCAAAAGATCCTGTATCTTTGATTTATCTTGAAGCATCCTAAAATTTAGACTTAGTAGTTTCAAATTTATACCGAATACTTATCATCTAATACTTTGTATGAAATACCCTATCCAAATTTTACCGACTTCTACGTTCTTGTTGTGACACCCTGGAATTCAGTTTTACTATACTTCTCCTAAATTGAGATGACTATAGCCATGACACAACTTTGTCTAAATAATTTAATTTAAAAGCCAATTCATTGCTGAAGAATGAAAATTATATCCTACATGGTTATATCCAGAAGCCAGGACCACAATTGATGCATAAGCCAGTAACAAACTAACATTCTAACAATAAGACCTTAAATCACAAGGACAGAGGAAATAAAATTGGATTAGATTTTGTTTTATTATATGCAGCTTCCATTTTTATTTTATTTTTAACAAGAGGCTCAGATCCACATTTCATCAAATAATCCAGTGGAGATTTTTTAGGTGGTAAAATAAACCATGGCGGCAATCAATCAAGTTGGGCCAAATAATTTCCAAATTCCAACCGAACCAAACCACAAAATAAAAATAATACATCGTATAAAATAAACCAATAATTAATCTTTCTGTCAAGCCAAATGGAAATGTTTTTTTACCCAAAACCTCAAATAATTCTCCATATTAAATTTGACTACTTGAATGGTGTACACTCATCATAGCCTATTATGGTTAGTGATTTTTGTGGTTAGAAGATCAAGGAGCATGCAGTCAGGCAGTCAGCAGAGTTAAACAGTCACAGATCACAAAGACAGATAAAGCAGCTACAGTTCAAAAATCCAATGGTTTGAGGACCAATTAAACAGTGTCTGGATAAATCACCTATGGTCGTCTAAGGAGAGGGGCAAAACGGTCTTTGGGAAACTCCCATGACCTCTCCCTGCCTCATTCTTGGTATTAATCAACGTTAAACCCTAGATTATAAAGTTAATATTCACTAACTAAGAAAAACATCTTACCTCAGACCCTCCTTCAATAGAGGAAAGAAAGCTTACAAAGTCACAAGCCATTTCAATAGAGAATTCAGAGTACGCTTCAATGGAGGAGAGTGAGAGATAGGGCACTAAGCATATTCATTCACCTTAACCTCTCATATATCATCATTGCATAATATTAGACAAATGTTATAAATTACGTTGGTGCTCAATTATCCGAAAGAAAATATTCATCTAAGGAATTTGTGAGTTTTTGAAGCATAAGATCATCAACCAAATCCAAGAAAGTAGAAACTCAAATCTTTTGAGCTACCGGAATAGATTTAATAACATGTAAAACACTGAAATTCACTTATTATAGCTCATAAATAACTATTATCAGCCATGTTGTCAACATATACATAAATTCTAAAGTCAACATAAAGCTAATTTACGTCACTGATGATAAAGTATGAGTAATCGATTTCCCAAATTTCTCACTAATACTTGCATCAAAATAGAGAAACTAAAATCAAAATTATACATGGACAGTGGCGGACCTAGAAATTTGACAATGGGGGGATAATTTCTATAATTCAACTAACATCAACCTATTTAAAAAAAAAAAAAAAAAAAAAAAAAGGTACACAATACAAGTAATTTGGGTTTGGTTGGAAAATAGGAATAAGGGAGTAGTCGAGTAGTATGGTTGAAATAAAACACCAAAAAAAAAAAAAAAAAAAAAAAAAAAAAAAGGAGTGATGTTACAAGGGGGATTCGAATGCCATATTATCTTGTGATGTTAATTTCTTGGCAAACATTTGCCGAAGATGCTTGCTGCAGTCCGTGACTCGTGGCCGCGTGGGTGATGGTTCGTGCCTCGTGGTTGGGAAATAGGAATAAGGGAGTAGTCGAGTGGTTTGGTGAAAATAAAGGAATTTTTTTATTTTTACCACCTCCAAAAAACAACTTAATTGTTTTTACTACCTCCATAAAAAAAAGTTTTATTTTATCACCACATAAAAAATTGAAAATTGACTTTTACCACCAATCAACGCTAACTAACGGATTCTGTCTATAAATTCGTTAGTAGGGCCTATCATGTCCACGTGTCACCATATTATTGGGTAAAAAAATAAATAAATTAACAAATAAAAAAATAAAACCCAATAATATGGTGGCACGTGGACATGGTACACCCCTAACGGATGTTAGAAGGGGGATTCAAACCCTGATCTAGGTAAACCTGAAATTGGACCCCTTACATATTGTTTCTAGCCCACTACCAACTTAGCTAAGGCAAACTTCTTGTTTCCTAACATTTTTTTTCCTCTGTTTTATCAAAAGGGAACCAGAATTAACTATCACAGTATAGTGACTACTTTTAGATCAAATTTCACAACTAAATTCAATCCCCCCCCCCCCCTTTAAACAGATATCCAACAACACCCATCGACACAACTTCAGTCTAAAACTCTAAATGCATTAATAAATAAAACCAAATCCCAAAATTCAAATTCATCAAAATAAACACCCAAAAAATTAACATGAGAAATCGACTAAACACAAATAATAAAAGAAATACAGGGCCGTCCCAATCATTTTAGGGGCCCTGTTCTAAACTTAGAAATTAGGCCCTTGTAAATATTAAAGTTTTTTTTTTTAAGATCATAGATGAAATAATTTACATTTTATAATGAAACATTGAAACCCAAAACTCAAACTACTTATTTAAATTGTACAGTAAATAATACTTCGTATGATTAATTTCCAAATACAATCAAAATTACTCCTCTTTGAGATTAACTCTTTCATTTTTTTTTCTTTCTCATAGAGTACTTACTTTTGGGAGGCATAAAAAAATAATCTAATAATTGAAAGTGCAAAGAGAATTGAAACAACTTGCAACTCGATCTGATTGTCGTTACTCACTTTAGCAATTCCATGGCTATGACTGAGCAATTCTCTTGGCTCTTCTTATAAGAGCCTTATACCCACTTAATACTATGAATATTTATTTCATAAAGTTCTCAAAAATAATTTGAGTATGATAACACTGGTTATTGAAGAAGGTAGGGGAAAATAAATTTATATAGGGTGTAAAAAATTTAATCGTTTGATAAGCAAACATTAAGGGATTTAATTGTGCAAAATAAGAAATTAATTTCTCCATTGAAAAAGGTAAAAGGTTTATTTTGGAAAATTGAAAATTTGGGAGTAAACCAATAAATTAAATGGGGAAAAAGGAAAGAAATATTGAAAATTGTAGGAAAGTAAAGGAAATTGGGAGCAATTTTCGAAGTACCGTGGTTGAAGAATCTAGAAATTGGGAGTGATGAGTGAATGAATTAAAGGAGAAGATGGCTGCTTCTCGTGAGATTAAGAGTCAAAGTTTTTTTTTTTTTTTTTTTTTTACTTAAGGGCTGGGCTCAGCACAAATGGGCCCTTGAAATTTGGAGGCCCTGTGCTAAGGGTCTGTTTGCACTAGCCGGCCCTGAAGAAATATACCAGCCAAAGAATTAAAACCTCCTGTCAAGAGTGCCCATGCTAGGCAGCTTGTCGAAACTGAGGGATTCCTCTAAACTTGACATACTGAAAGGAATTTATTTGGCAAGGGAAAAAAAATGAGCAAACTACTCCATCAATACTTCAATAAATCCGTGTTAAACAATTTTAGAGAGGTGCATTGAACAGAAGAAATTGATGAGTCACTTCATCACCCAATATTGTACATTTATAACTTCATTTCTATGAGCTTGTTAAGAAATAGATGAGTCAATTACTACCTATACACTACACACTCCATGTGCATGAACCTACACAACATTCTTCAATCTGCCTGTTTTAGTTTATTGGATCCTAGGAATATGATCAGATTGCTTACACTGTTACACTACTTTTCTCACACAAGATATAAATCAAGTGGTTACCTCATAAGCCACTTTAATAGAAGAGGAGAAGCTCGAAAGCCGATACTCTAAACATGCTCGACCCATTAAAGCTACACAGTTCAAAATCAAGCAAAATTGAAAACTAAGAATTTCGAAAAAAAAATTAAAAAAGAAAAGAAAAAGAAATTGCATTTAGGTCTTCACTGATTATAGCTATTAATTCAATAATCCAACGTAGAATTACAAACAGTATTTGACACAGCATCAAATTTAGATGCTTATTAGAGCATGAACCATCATCAAGTTTCTTCATCCCAAGTTCCCAACAGATCACCTGATCAACAAAGCTAGTATAACCAACTGGAACCACACACAATGATACATTGCCACTTAATTTAATCAAAATTAATAAACAAAATAATTATATTAATAAATAAAGCGAGAAGTCAAGAGTAGTTTACATACCAAGATCAGTCTCAAGATCCATCTCATCTTCCCGTGGCAGCTAATAAGTGAGTTGACCTTCTAGATCCACAAGATCTAGATTCAGTCCATGCCTGGTAGCTAGATGATAGCTACATGATCCTGCAGATCCAAATAACATCAGAAGCAATACTTACAGTGTTATTTAGAATTGAATTAACTTAAAAGGCCATCATAAGTTATATATAACACCAAACCTGAAATCTAGCCTTTCCAACAGAAAACAGAAGTTCAATTCAGAAGTTGTACCCTTCAGTCAATCATTCCTTCATAAGAATTCCTCGAAAACGTTCAAAAATATCTTCAAAAGTACCTGAGAATTTATATCGATAAATGAGATAGGATGGTGAGCATTAGTTTAATGTTCCATAAATGAGGGGATCAGTGTAAACTTTCAAAAGTTTTAGCAAATTTAACAGCCTTAGTCTATTATTCCATTCAATGTTAATAGTAAAATTTATATAATTCCATTCAATGTTAATAGTAAAATTTATATCCATCTTTCCAATCAATGTCAATATTTGTATTCAAAACTACGAAATATTTTGACTTTAATCTTATTTGAAGTTGATATAATCAAATAATAAATACAATTGAAGCATATGAGTTATATTCAATTGTACAGTATGGATTTTCAATGTGGGAATTCCAATTAAGTTTGGTATAATGCCACATATTTTGAAAAGCATCACTATTCCCAAACTAATCCACATATAAAATCTTTCATCATCCTTTTTTATACTCCAAGCACCAACCATCATCGACCAATTTACAACTACTCAAACCAAACATATAATGAATTCAACTAAACAAAAAAACCCCACGCAAATTAATCATCACAAAATGCTCCAGCTGGTGAACTCATGTGGTTCCAACGCTTTTGAACCCCTTCAAATTATTTTATTTATTGCCAACAAAACCCCATACATAATACTGATCTAGGGAATATTTTCGTAGACATCAATTGTATACTCCCAAAAATACGTATAAATATTTTTCTAAAAAGAATCAAAAGTAAAAATCGAAGGGCAAGAATTTAAGCAACGAGGAAACAAGCATTCTTTCAAAAAAAAAAAAAAAAAAAAAAAAAAAAAAACTTAAAGGAAGCAAGCATACTTTCCCACTAAATGTACAAGTCAATTAAAGAAGATAAATAATCAGAGCAAATAAGGGAGGGATACATCGACCTATGAGCACTGATCCTTGAAATCTATTTTAAAAATTGAGGAAGAGAAGAAAGAGAGTTACATTGTTTGATCAGACACAGTAGGAATTTGTTCCTAAATATCTTATAGATTACTTGCCAATGAAAATGTTTAAGATGTTTCTTTTTCTACTCTCACTCTTGATTCCTATAATAACAACCTCTTTGTTTATCATCTCTCTAGAACTCTATCTTGTGGCCTGTTCTCTCTCTTTTTTATTATTCACTTCCACATCCCTCTCTCTTGCTTTCTCTCTTTATTGTTAATGGTTCTCTAGATCCATGAAGGTACACCTCCAAGGAAAATCCCACTTTGTCAGTTTTGACTAAAAAGGAGTCTGATGAGCTATGATTGTTAGGGCTATCATAGAGTGTGTTGCAATAGTTGGTAGGCTAGATCTAAATTGAGAGTTTTGGTTGCTATTGTCAGACATCACCACTGCTTTGGCTAGAGAATTGAATTACTCGTAGTTAGGTCTTCGTTTGGAAAAAGATTGAGCAGATGAGATGGCATGCTTTAAGGCACATGTGAAGTGATATACACTTTGCTGTATAAGGGTATTTAGCTGTCAGTCTGGTATTGTATTTGGATCCTCTTATAGCTCTTCTAATAACAAAATTTAGACCGCAAAAAATTTCACAAAAATCACAATTTTATCAGCAAAACCCATCACGATCCCTGATTATGAATAAAACCCATCAAAATAAACAGAACTTAAAACCCAAAAAGAATCTGAAATTACCTCAGTAATCGAATTTGAGAAAATTACTCCATAAGATCAACCAAAACAAATTAAAGATACACCCTAGATTTTCGAACTGATATTAGATGATTATTGAAAATGATTAAACATCTTACCTCAAGAAGCTGCTTTAATGGAGGAGATAAAACGCAGAGTACCCTTCAAGTCTTCATTGGAGAGCTCTGATTACGCTTCAAACGAGGAGAAAGCTCAAAATCTGGAGGTAGTATTGAGAAATCCGTGAGTGTCGAATCTTTATTAAGAATTAGGGTTTGAAATGATGTTGATCGAAGAAGGAAAATTAGGGAAAATGCTAGGATATACCTTGATTTCCTCATGAAGACGAGCAATGCTAAGCCTCATTTCGTCCGACCTAGAGAAGTTCATCTTACTTTCTTCTTCCTCATTTTCTTCATTTGTTTTACCTCTGTCCTCACTTCTTTAATGCTCCATCTAGCAAAAGTTGTTTAAAAATTAGCTAAATGTAAAGGATTAACCTGACAGCTAATAAGATTGTATTACTTATTACTCTTCTACAGCATACATCATTATCTTGTGCTTTCTTGCTATTTGGGTGTCCTGCCAGATCTTCCATGTTGATAACTATTCTGCATTGGCATGTACAGAATTAATTATAAGAGTTCCAAATTTCCATTCCACATTAGGGAACCCTGCCTAATATACAGTTCCAAATTTCCAACCATGTTCCTATGAGATTATCTAGGGAAAGCAGTTGGTATATTGCTGAAGCTAAGCAATTATGAAAGAGAAGTGAAGCTATCAGTGAATATTATTGGTTTTTTTTTTTTTCCTCCCACTCTAGTGACTGTATTTTCAAGAACCTAGAGTATGAAATGGATAATCGACTAAAAAATGGACAATCTTAAATACTAAATCATATTACAAAGCCTAAACCTAATATTGACAACTAAATTAACAACATAGTCTTAGTTGTAAATTTAATTAATTCAATTCTCCACATTAAATTAAAAGAATCCTAAATACAGGAAAATAAATTATCAATAAATTGTACTATGAAATTGATAATTCTGTAAGTAATTAAAAAAAAAAAAAAAACAATTTTACCCTAAACCCTCCTTTTCACCACCAAAACCTTTATTCTTGACATACTTTTGCCAAGCCAAACCCAATCACAAACAAAGAACACCACTAATAAATAAATACTGAAGCAAAGATTTTCAATACATTCAAGTTAAGATTTTCAATACAAATATTGCATATCCTACTCCTTTATTGATCAATGAAATAACAAATAAAATACCCAAAACTCCAATCAAAATTATTATATTAAACAACAATGAAAACCCAAAAATAAATATAGCGATTCTATAAAATGAAGAGGATAGTATTAAGAAAATGTATCAAAATCACATTACTTTGCCACATTCATTCCATTTCACAAAATGCCACAAACTAAACAATTCAATGGTCAACCTTACCCAGAACATTGAATTTAGAATTAAACATCTAATTCTCTATAGCAAATCCACTAAATAATCTGTTAATTGTTAAAAGATCTGAATCTAACAAAAAAGCACAAATCTAGAAACTTCATCATCTTCAAAGCAACAACAACAAAAACCCCAAATCAATCCAAATCAAATCAAGCAACAAATCAATCCCAACTTAGGGTTCTAGCATCAAGAAGTTTTTAATTGTACTTCAAAAGGCTAGCATCAAGAAATTTGTAATAGTACTTTAAAAAGCAAGTGTTGCATCCAAACTTTTAGCTAATGGTTGATTAATGTCAACCTGGGTAGTTCATGTGATGGTAAAGGTTTTACTTTTATATTGAGTGATAGTTATCTACCTAGCTTGCTCTTGTTAAGCACAGCTTGAATGAATCCTTTCCCCACTTAATCCCTGTCCAAAAATGGACTGTGAACAATGAGATGAATAAATTATAGTCGTTCTTTGTTATAATGACAGGACAAAAAAGAAATACTTGCTGATTATCAGTCTATTTAGTTATCCGTTTTACTAATAGGACAAAAGGCAAGACACTGTTGTAGAATTGTTGATCATCAGTACTATGTGAGACCATATTCGACTGCTTTTATGAGTTACAAGACTCACAACAGAAATTAATAAACTGAACAGAGAGCTAAAGTGAAAAGAAACAGAAATTTCTCTAGTCCTGTTCATCAATATCAAACATAAAGAATCAAACTTTGCCATCTAACTTTCAGCAATTCAAAAAAACCCAACAACCTGAACCTAAAATTTGTCCATCTCAAAATCTTCAAATCATCGAATTACTTTTATCATGCTAAATAATGAGTTCTGACTAAAAAAAATCGACAGAGGAGGCTTAGATCAGCATAGCATCAAACAAAAAATTTGGTGTGGCAACTCAAGCAAGGGAAAAATAACCATGGCGGCCAACTAAACCTGAAAAGATGCGCATTTAAGGAGAGAGAAAATCTCAATCCCATCAACATGCAAAACACCCATCATATTGCTCCAAGCCAAATGGCAAATTACCCAAAACAAGAAATGCCTTCAAAAACCAAACTGAAAATTGATGATCATTCATCTATAAATTTAATCATAAAAACAATTATCAAAATTCGAACTCAATTACATTCCAAAATCCAGAACAAAATACCTATTTCATCATTTCACGAGCAAGTAAAATACGTAAAAATTGAAGAAATTGAAAAAACAAGTGAATAAGAAGATCGTACTTCGTACCTATAAGAGAAATATCGAGAAGACTGCTCATCTTTCAAGTTTGGACTCAAAGCCGGGTTTCGAGTTCGTCAAATTTTCATCTGGGTGATTAACAATTCACGGATATTTTGAAAATTTGTGTCGATTTGGAGGTTATTTATTTAAGAATTTGGATTTTAAAGAGAAAAAACTTGTATAATTAACGATAATTCCACAGATATTTGACTAAAAAACAATTAAATTAGCGAAAACCCCAAAAGTGTAGAATTGACATTTGATGATTATATAATTAATACCATACCTCATGATTCTTCATCAGTCACTCTCTCACTAAAATTGCCTAATTATTGTCTGATCCACTTCAACAGAGAATTGAAGGAGTCGAGATTGAAGAAATGGAAGGGTAAGGGTTGCAGGTGGAAGAGTGAAGAATTGAGATTGAGGAGAGAGAGTGACGCGGGTGCATGGAACCTATTGGATGAAGTGGAAGACGTGCCATGTGTCGTGACACGAAGTTAGGCCAAGTTCGTTGTTGGTCAATTTTCGGGGCTAACCATCGTCACACTTGAGGACAAGAAACTTATCAATATATGATGCAACTACTTCATTTAGCCATATCTCCTTCTTTACAATGAATTTTTAGGTGATTCAAGTTGGAGGTAAAAGTAGAGTTCAAGAGCTTTCCAACTACTGGTCACATGCCAAATTTGAGTAAGAAACAAAAAAGTTATGAACGTTTGAAGTTGAGCTGTCCAGGCAGTCGCGAGGAGCAGGGGAGTTCGACCGAACCAAAGCATGTTCGACCGAACCTTCCAGGTAGTTTCAGACCTGATTTCAGCATCTTTGAAGGAGTGGCCGAACCTACCCACAAGTTTGACCGAACTTACCCTGAGTTCGGCCGAACCTTTTCCCGTTTTTCTGTCAGTTTATGCGCACTATTTAAGTTGTTTTTAAGACGTTTTGCCAATAATTTATGTTGAACTTTGCTTGACTTTTTAATCAAAGAGACTTTCTCTCTCTACCATAATCTTTGTGATTATTTAGCTTTCTTTGTGATTGCTACCTTGTAATCTTTGTAGTTACATCTTAATCCTATCTTTACTTGGTGTTAGCATTGATTAAGACCCCTATTTCATATTTCTTTGTGATTTTGAGATAGGTTCACCTTATTTATTGAATGGAAATTGTGGAGTTCGACCACTCCTGCAAAGATGTTGAAATCAGGCTTGAAACTGCCTGGAAGGTTCGGTCGAACATGCTTTGGTTCGGTCAAACTCCCCTGCACCTCGCGACTGCCTGTATAGCTCAATTTCAAACGTTCATAACTTCTTTGTTTCTTGCTTAAATTTGGCATGTGACCAGTCGTTGGAAAGCTCTTGAACTCTACTTTCATCGCCAACTTGAATCCCTAAAAATTCCTTTTAACGAAGGAGATATGGCTGAATGAAGTAGTTGCATCATATATTGACAAGATTCTTGTCTTCAAGTGTGATGATGGTTAGCCCCGAAAAGGTGACCTCCAAGGAGCTTGGCCCGACTTCGTGTCACGACACATCGCACGTCTTCCACTAAGTTCCATGCACCCGCGTCAGAGAGTGAGAGCTCAGACAATAATTCGGCAATTTTAGTGAGAGAATGACTGATCAATAAGTATAGCCCGCTACCAGGTAGGGACAACAAAGGTCCATACATGCGTTGAATTTTTTTTTTTTCGCTAAGTGTTTGAAAAACGTCATTTTCTATTTTAATACTGTTATTTTAAGTCTGATCTTGTTATAATAAAATTAATACTGTTATATGTTTCTTCAATATTGTTTTCAAGGTGTCATTTTGCTCTTTTCAGTATTACTTATATTTGCATACTGTTATTGTTTAAGTAAAATCTGTTATTAAAGAAGATAATACTGTTATTATAAATTAGAAATTGGTTAAGTGTGCAATTTGGTATCAGAGCCATACGGTTAAGTTAATTAAAGTAATTAAGTAAAGTTGGAGAATACTAGACCTTCTACTGAGTGTAAGAAACCAGATTTTAAGCATTATTATCATATTCCTGAAAATACTAATAATTTTGGCCCAGTTCTTATATTGTAGATCAACTTGGGGAGCTTAAAGTAGAAATTGGTAGCATACATTGTCGTTGCATGATTAGTGAACATAAGCTATCAACAATGATATTAGAGATTAGTAAAAATTTAAGTGAATTAAAAGAACAAGTTAAACAATTACAACTTGCTTTAACAAACGAAGTTAGACATTAGTTTAACAAAGAAGTATCGCCCAATCAGGACAAGGTTATTCCTTATAAATATAAATATCCTTTTCAAAATTTAGATAAAAATAAGAAGTTTACGGTATCACTCCCTAAAAGACCTACTAGTAATCAAGAAAAGAACAAAGAAACTAAAGATGAGCCATCATCTTTAGAAGAAAACGAGTAAAGAATTGCAAATCTTGTTTGATGAAGAAGAAGACCCTAATAAACTAAATGATATCATGAAAATAATTTCTGAAAAAATGATTGCTGCTGATAATGTAGTTAAGAAGATAACTATGCTACCTTTAGAGGAAGATTTATATCAACAAATGGGATTAATGAAACTAGATGATTTAGACTTTCTACCTATGGAAGTGGTTAAGCAAATGATTGAAAATAAACTAGGTAAAAGGGTAATGGATAGTAATGATGTTGGAGAAGAGATTATTAATGAAAATGTAAACAATGTTATCCAAAGACCTAGGTATCAAGAAGAAGGAAGTTGCACACGACCAAGATACATACCAGGGAAGACTACCTGATTTAGTGTCAAGGTTATGCCAAACCAAATTCTTAAACAAGAAGAAGTAACCCTTGAACCTATAAGTCAAACTGGTTATAGGCTTAAATTAGATGGTGTAAGAGATAGACAAGATGTTTTAGATCAGTGAAAAAAGAGCATGAGTAGTGTACTCAATTTAAACACTGACTAGACTTTTGAAAATTTCTTAAATTATATCGAACATAGTTTCTATGGTTGTGTAGAAGATTGGTATGATGGAATAGATGAAGAAGTCAAAATAACATTAAGATCTAGTGAATCTCCTACTAGAATGTTCAGACAGTTATGTCAATACATTGAGTTAGAATTCATTGGTCCTAGAGCTGATCCTAATGAAAAACGAATGGAATATCAAAGAAAGTTAAGTAATTTGTCCATCTGCAATATGAAATATGTTGATAATTACATCATGGAATTTGAAACATATTATTATAAAATTTGTGAAAATGAAACAAATCTTGGAATGTTCTATGATAAATTACCAAGTTCCCTTAATGAAGAAATTAGTGAAAATTATCAAGAATGGAGAAATAAATTCTTAGCTAGGGATGCCCTAGTTAATAGAATTGCTTTTCTCAAAAAATGGATTGAAAAGAAATGTAGAGAGGTTGCTGGAACTCAATAAATGAAGAGACAATTCCTCACGTGTTGGGATTTCCCAAATAACTATGGATGTGAAAGAAAAAACTATAATAAGAGAAGATATTATAAGAGAAATAATTTTGATCGATCAAGAGGAGAAACCTATAAGAAGAAGTACTATAAACATAAATATAGAAAACCAAGTAGGTTTTTCAGAAAGGAAACATATTGTCTAGAGAAAAAGAAGACATGCAAGTGTTGGTCTTGTGGAGAATTAGGACATTATGCTAATGAATGTAAGAAAACTAATCATAAATTAATGGAAGCCTTAGGAAGTTGGGATTACATAGAATTACCAAAAGACGAGGCTTTAGAATTAGCTTTAAGTTAATAATAAAGGAATAATAGAAATAATAGAAGAAATAAATGAGCATGATGAAGAACCTGAAGATAGTGATCATGAGTTTGAAGTTGAAAATTATGAAGAAATAAATAATATGATGGAAGGAGAAATATTAGAAAACTTGGAATCAGTTGACGATGAGGATAAAAGTAAAATGACTATAGGTCAACTAAAAAGAGCTGAGTATTCTATTGATGATAAAGACCTAGACCAAATGAACAAAGAAAGTTGGAATTTTCCTCAGATTACTATAGATAAAATATTTAAAACTTCTTTCTTTAAAACTAGAACTAAATATGTGTGTGAAGAAATGGAAGGAAGTATAGTAATCGAGGATTGTGAAAAGAAAGCATCAGAAATTAATATCATAAAATGGAAAGGCATTAAAAACCATAAAGAAAAAGGAAATTATAGTTATATTTGTAATGGTGCAGTGCAAGTATACATAACTCCTTTACAAGATTTTGGTAAAAATGTTAAATGTTTAAGTTTTGTGTGTGATGTTAGACATAAAGAATTTTATGAGGAGATTATTAGTTGCATCACGTGTAGTTTAAGTCAAGGAACGGTAAGCTATACATGTGAACCAAGATATTATGTGAGCTTAGAAGATTCATATGCTCCAAAGTTTCTAGCAATCAAGTTATTAACTCTTGGAGTAAACATGCATAAAGGAACTCGACCTATACAACTAAGATGGAAGGTAGTCTATAAGTTAGTAAACACTATAGATTCATCTTTCAAGAAACTAATAGTAGAGACACCCAAAAATATGAGCAAGGAGGATGTCCTAAAAAGAAAATTAGCCCTATAAAGATAAATCCTAATGAAATAGAAATTGAAAAAATATGAGAAGAATTCTTCATGAATCCTGCAGTAAAAAATAGGTTAAATAAGATGTTAATAGATGAATTACTCCATATTGGAATAACTACGAATCCTAAAATGCAGAGAAGTATGAGTCTTAGAACACCAAGTTTAAGTAGACAAAATTCAACTACAATAAGGATGAAAAAACAAGTCAATGAGAAACCCGAAGAAGATGAACAAGATTTATTGGCTTTAATTAAAAAGTTAAATGAAAAATACAAAGCTAAAAAAGCCTTAAAGCAACCAGCAAGACATAGTATATATATTGGTTCATGTTCTAATTTAGAAATGCATGAAGATCCGAATAATTCTATTATTGATAAAAGAAAGGTTATCGGATATAAAACCAAAACTGTGAGTGAACCAGTATATGAAGATGAAGTCAATATGCAAATGGAAGCCTATAACGAAATATCTAGTGCTAATCCTAATAGCATTTATATTCCTATTGATATATGCATTAAAGATTATAACAAATATAAATTATGTGCATAATTTGACAGTGGTTGTTCTACATGTTTTGGAAAAAGGTTGTTATTCCCAGAATTCTTGTGGAAAAAGGCTAAAAATCCTATGCAAGTTAAAATTACTAATAATAGTGTCATGAGGCATACGGAAATAATTGAAGAATTACCATTAGAAATTGGAGGAGTTCAATGTGTTATTCCTATTTTATGGGCTACTGATCAACCTAGTCATGATATGATAATAAGAAATAACTTTCAAAGGTTATACTCTCCGTGCACTCAAACCATTGATCAAATAATGTTTACTATTAATGGTCATTCTGTTCCTATACAAAAAAATAATAAAAGCCTATACTCATCAGACTATGGAATTTGCGCGCAGCCAGCGTGGTGATAGGGTTACACCTACACAATGAGAGGTTGCACTTAGAATTTCTAAGTGTGATTTATCATTAATAGATCAGATAAATAAGCAGCAAGAAAAATTATGTGAAAAACTATATTCAACAAATCCATTAGAACATTGGGAAAAGGATAAGACATTTGGTAAGATAACTCTAACAAATCCTAATAAGATTATTAGAGTAAGACAAATGGTTTATACCTACCAAGATATATTGGAATTTGATGAACAAATAAAAGAATTTATAAATAAGGAGTTAATTAGGATTAGCAAAAGTCCTCATAATAGTCCAGCGTTCATGGTTAGAAATCATGCAGAAGAAAAAAGAGGTAAAGCTAGAATGGTCATTAATTATAAATAGTTAAATGACAATACTGTCTTTGATGGCTATTACGTTCCTAATAAAACCGTGTTATTTAATAGAATTCAAGGAGCCACATGGTTTTCTAAAATGGATTGTAAGAGTGGCTACTGGCAAATTAAAATGGAAGAAGAAAGCATTCCATTAACAACATTTAGTGCCCCTCAAGGGCATTATGAATGGTTAGTAATGCCTTTTGGATTAAAAAAAATGCTCCACAGATAGTTCAAAGAAGAATAAATAATATTTTTAGAGAACTTAATCATTGCTGTTTGGTATACATAGATGATATCTTAATATTCTCAAAAGATTTAGAACAACATATGAATGATCTTAAGGCGGTAACCCAAAAATGTGTTGAGCATGGTATAATCCTTGGAAAGGTTAAATGCATTTATGCTAAACAAGAAATTGATCTAGGATTAGAGATTAAAGCAGGACAAATAATATTGCAAAAACATTTTCTGGAAAAGATTGAAAAATTTCCTCGATATAATTGAAGATAGAAAACAACTAAAAAGATTTCTAGGGTGTTTAACTTATGCTTCTGATTTCATAGAAAATCTTGCTCTATTAAGAAAACCATTACAACAAAAACTCAAGAAAGAAATAACTTGGAACTGGATGGAAAGTGATTCCAAAATTGTTCAAGATCTGAAAGCTATGTGTAAAAACCTTCCTGTATTAACACTACCTACTAGTGAAGATAATTTAATCCTTGAAACAGATTCTAGTAATGAGCACTGGAGTGATGTGTTAAAAATCAATGAAGGAGAAAGACTTTGTAGATATAGCGGTGGAAGTTTTAATAAGGCTGAGTTAAATTATCCTACCATGCAAAAGATAATCCTTACAGTTATTAGAGGGATCGAGAATTTCTTAATCTTTTTAGCCCCTAAACAATTCTTAATAAGAATAGATTGCAAAGGCATACTTGGTTTTGTTAAAAAGAATTTGTCAAATATGCAAGCGCAAGGGAGACTCCTGCGTTGGCAATTATGGCTTAACTAATTCTCTTTTACTGTTGAACATATACAGGGATCAAAGAATTCTTTGGCAGATAGCTTGACCAGGAGTTAGCCAATGGCGAAGGAGCACAAGACATCAGAAAAACCTCCTGCCCATCAACTAGAAAAGATGGAGGCAAAGAGAAAAACTCTTATTGCAGAAACATATAAAGCAATGGAGCGGGTTTCACCCTCCACTTGGGCCTTGATGGAGGCCATGATTGTTTCATCAAAAAAGAGATCTCGAGATGGTTTGATTAAGAGTTGTCATGTAGCAGTTCGAAGGTTCCTAATGTACGAGGTAATGGTCATCATCCTATGACTCATTCTAGATATTCAGGATATAATACTAAACAAAATAAAAGATAAAGATTTCAAATTCTGGTACAATTTAGTTGTATCAAGGTCATACAAGTTGTATGATGTTTATGATCTATGGGGAAGTAGAATAATGTTCAACACTAATTCCAGAGTGGGTACTGTGTCAATTTATCCACATTCACTGGAATGGAGGGCACCATATGTGGCGGAGCACTACAGAGTTTGAGATTATGGAATGGTTCATAGCATCGTACCATTTCCTGATCACAATACTACTTTCATTGAGAAGCTCATAAAATTTCAGAAGTATATATTTAGGAGAATTTATGATGCAACAAGATACAAAGAAAGAGTTGAACAAGTCCAAGTACAAAGTGCAAACATTGAAATGGTTGAAGGAAAAGTTAGCTCTCTACATTTCCTGATCATGTTTGAAGATGTTCATCGCAAAGTCAAAGATCCAATCTGTATTCAGCAGAGACGAGTAATAGATCCTACGGAGGCGAGAGCCTATTAGGGGTGTTCGCGGTGCGGTTTAACCACATTTTTAAAAAACCCGCACCAAACCGCATTTTTAAAAAAACTGCACCAAACCGAACTGCAAGATGTGGTTTGGTGCGGTGCGGTTTAACCGTATTTTATTAAAATTGTAATTATTCTTTTTAAAACAAAACTTTAATTTTATATTATAATTATTAGTTGATAATTTAAATATTAAACACTTTTTATTAACCTTTAATTAACTAATAGTAAAAAATTAGCTCATATATTTTAGTTCTTTAATATAATTTTAATGAAAATATAGTATAGAAATCGCAAACCGCATTAAAGTGCGGTTTGTGGTGCAGTTTGGTCTCAATTATTTTGGAAACCGCACCAAACCGCAAACCGCGGTTTGATCATTTTAAAAAACCGCACCGTAATTTTCAAACCGCAAACCGTACCAAACCGCAAAAATTGCGGTTTGGTGCTGTCTAAACCGCAATCTGTACAGCCTTAGAGCCTATGGATTTTCTATATTGCTCAGTATCTTAACCAATTTATAGCAATAAAGGAAGAGCCACCAGTCATAATACATGTGGGAAATACTACAATAGTATCACCAGAATGGTTAAAAAATTATTTAGAAGAAGGAGTGTTACATAGTGAATCAGTGTATGATTATCTTGAACAAGTTGTAGCTAGGAGATATTTATCCTTAGAGGGAAAAG